ACTGCTACCGTTTTTGCAAAGTAATAAAACAGAAACAACACAGCCTGAGAAAAAGAGTTCTTGCAGGGACGGGACCCCAAAGGAAGTGATCGGAGGTCAGGCACCCTGAATGAGAGGAGGAGGGCCGAGGAAGTAACGGTGAGAAAGCTGGGGGAGGGAAAACAGAGGTCAGTGTTGGGCGAGACAGCGGTCTACTGGTTTTCGGCCGCCTGGAGGATGCGAAGGATGTAGAGGAAGAGTGTTATCGAGGCAGCTATGTACTCCTCCGCAGAGAAACGCTTCATGATCAAGTGGGTGTCAAAAACCAGCAGGCAAGCGAAGAGGGCCGCCCCGCTAATTGAGAGAATCAGGTGTAGAGCAGGTGAGCCTAAGAACAGATTAGTTAGACCGCGCATACACGCGCATAGATCGCGCATACACGTAAATAGATTGGCTGTACGGTGGTATGGGGCGTTTTCACAAATAGCTGCCCAGACCTTCGGAAGGGGTCATGAGTTCAACTTCGCAGATGCCAAGATAATCTCTGATTCCGGAGGAAAAACAGGCTGAAAGTTAATTGGAACTTGGATCTAGGATGAGAACGCAGCCAGTCTATGTACTGATCTGATGTCCGCACACAGAGTCCTGTGGAATCACATCCAGCCCTGAGACACAGTTCGCCGATTTGCTGATGAGCCCTTTAACTGTCGCTTGTGCGAATATTGCTATCAGCTCCTGCACGCCTTCGAGTGCTCAGAACAATAGGCAACTTGCCGATACAAGCGAAGATGCGAGTTCCAGGAAATAGTTAATAAGAAGTAGAAGCAATCACTTTTTTTCACCTGACGTTTCGGATTCTCACTTGAACCCATCATCAGAGACAGTGACAGAAACGGATGCTTCGTGCACAGGAAGTTTCAGTTTTTATAGGATGCAGTCACTATGCTAATGCATACCTACGACAATTAGCCGCTCTCGCCTTCATCCAAAATTGTTGTCCGTTGGTGCGCTAATTGCTTAATGGAGGCCACCATAAGGCGTCAGGTGATGAGACTAAAAGACCCACTGCCACAGCAAGAAACGTCTGGGGTCGTTTACCGGATCTGGTGCAGTTGCGGACAAAGTAATTATGTCTAAGAAACTGAAGGACTGCTCTGGACGCGAATCGTCGAACCCGCGGCAGCAGAGCATAGAAATGACGCCAATCGCTCAGGTCGCGGTCAATCCAACGGGACCCCGCCACTCATTGAAGTTAAATGAGGCAGAATTCCTCGCGAAAGATGATAGTTGCGTGGGTCGCGAGTCGCTTCAGTCATGTGTCGCAGGACCTAGGTATATCAACAAATGCAACGACATCCCCACTCCATATTGGGTGCCGAGGCATAGGCTGGTCAATGTAATTGACCACTGGGGAGAGCGCTAGCCGTTGAGCCAGATGGCCGAACGATCATTACGCCAGCATCCAAAACAGATGATGAGATTTCAACAATTAACAACTTACATGCCGACCATCAAGTGTCGACATGCTGTTATAGAAATGAAGAGACGAGCCCCAGAAAGCAGTCGTGAAGAAGGAGACACGATGGCTGGGACAAGAGATTTATTTGCCTGACGTTTGGGATTCCTGCTCGAATTCATCATCAGAGACAAAAGCAGATAGGGGTGATTCAGGTACAAGGGGCTGCAGTATTTATCGGATGCAGTCGCCATGCTATCGCATTCCTATGAATATTCACGGCTCTCCCCCTTCATCAGGAATCCTTGCAATTGGTGTGATGACTGTTTGATGGCCGACATTTGCGTAGTTAATTGCTGCAATTTCATCACATCTGTCGGATGTTGGTGTGATAATTGGTCGACCATCTGATCCACTGACCCTGGTGTTGGGAAGAGTATTCATCTGCGCGCTCCGCGCGTGGCTAATTACTCCGTCTAGGCGAAGTCTCAGCATCGAGTATGAAATGGGAAGGTCGTTGCACTTGTTAAAGGGGGGGACAGTGAGCCATGACTCAAGCAGCTCCCGGCTCACGCGGTTGTCACCTCTTGCAAGAATTTCGGCCTTGTTGAATTTGGATGTGTAACCGGATCTCGTCTAATGAGCCGCAAATTGAGAGCTAACGCCATTTCTCCGCACCGCTGCAGCGTGTTCGGCCATTCGCGTTCGGAGACGTCTTCCGGTTTCTCCGACGATAAACGACTCCAGACGTTTCTTGCCGTGGCAGCGGTCATTACGGTACGCTTGATGGTTGCTACCGGTCTGTGTGCAACTCCAAACCCAGGTGGCGCCAGCAGGCGTTCGACAGATTCCGAAAAATTCCTGTCATACGGAAGCCCTCGCCAAAATTTGGAGTCCTTGCGGTTTTGCCTTTTGTTCCTTTTGCGTATGCACCGGTTGACGAAGTTGGGCGGGTAGCCATTGGCTTTGAAGATCTTTAGACTTCATTCGCTCTACCATTGCTACTACTACTACTACTACTACTACTACTACTACTACTACTAATAATAATAATAATAATAATATCACCAAACCCACCACCAGTATCACCACCGCTCTCGCTATCACTACTGAAGAATCTGCCGTTATCAGCAAAACCTGGTGGGTCTAGGGCTGGGGTCGAGAAATCAGAAGAAGTAAAAAAAAAATACGTCAGGCAAAGTCCTTCGTCACATCTGCGCGCAGGCTTGTGCATGACTCGAGTGTGACTATCGATTTCCGAGCTCTGACGCTAAGGAGGCGAACGACTGCCGTCAAACCTATGCTTGCGGCTCAGTACGCGTAGGTGTTTACGCTGGTGTAGAGCTTAATCACAAACTCAGGGTAGACCATCTTCTTAGCAGGATGACAGAGCAAGTTTGAGAGGACTGAGCGCTGTAAGAGCGAGTGCGTGTCTTTTTGGCTACGTGAGGTGGCAACTGGAGAGCCTGAAAACGCCAACATATCCCGTAAACACTCGAAGACGGGAGATACTAGTTAAAGAAATTTATTTTGTGCAGATGCCTGAAAAGCAGTCGAAACCAACAGTGCGCTCCAACTGCCAGTCGTTACAGCGCGTCAGCCAATCAGATCCGGGTACGAGAGCTGGGTTTACGAGAACGTATATCTCTGTCAGCAGGGAAAATCGATAAATCAATGGATTGAATAGAGCGCCTTGCTGGAACTGCTAGTGCAACGTCTCGTGGAAGTGATGACTACATAAACCAGCTCATACTGTGACGAGAGTTTTAGCTGTGGGCAGGAGGCTTAGGCATGACTAGGGCCAATAAACCTCACGAAGCCTATGGGAATGGATACTTCCGATTGAAAATATCAGGGCAAATCCACTTTTCCATATGTTACTTTTACAGAACACGCAAACAAGGATGTCTCATTTAGGCCCATAATTCGTAAGGATAAGAGCAAATGAAACAATTGTTTAAACTAACGGAACGCCCTCGACTAATGAAATTTTAATGCTTTTCCACGAAGTATGGACATAAAAGCCGACGTTTAGGTCGTTTCTACGGAACTCACTCGCCTTCTCGGTAAAACCATTACATATATATGTTTATAATGGTAGGACGCGCTCACCAATCGTTCTTACGGAACTCACCCGTTCCGCTGTGCTTTATGGGCTCTCTCTCGAGCCCAACAAGCAGCCGCACAGCGGCGCATGAAATTGGCAGTATGTTATTACCGACAAAGTCAAGGGAGACTGAAATGGCCATTTCTGGCGTATTAGCTGTCGTTAGCCAGTCATACCCAAACCCGAAGTGTGGAACACCCGTGGCCCAGTGGCTGGAGGCGTGGACTTCAAACTGACAGGTCGCCAGTTCGAGCCTTGGCAGTCTTATGCGAATTCAGGGATTCTTTTCCAACCACCGCATCGTACTTAAAAAGAAACTGCAGAGGGAACGCTGGGGGACCCACTGATGAGCCGAGCTCCTCGCAGTTAAATGACACAGTGACAGAATATCGGCAAAACACGTGTCTAGGCTTTAAGTTAGTACCCATGTCGGGAGTGCGGCATCATACATTCGAAATATACGTCTCATACTACTCCAAGTACTACTTATTTGTCGAATGGACACAGAAGTCGATTGTCTTTGACTCAAATGTTCACTGAAATTTCGGTTCTGATCCTAAAAAATCATGTCCCGGAGACTTAAACTCGACGTCCCACACTGAGCATTTTTTGGAATTATTCACTTGATATGGATATAGGCGCATATGCTGACTCCGGGTGTTGAGATTGAAAAAGGGGTTAGAAGAGCTCTGGGGATGATGATTTATTCATCTGACGTTTCACGCTCACACTCGAGCGCATCATCGGAAATAGGAAATGTGAGAACTGCATGGTTTAAATAGGTCCCTTGTGTTTATATGTACATTTATTAGAATACAGGCATCCCAAGAAACATAATATGAAGGCAAACATGTTCTTTGCGAAGAACTGAAAATTGTCTTAGTAAATGTTTGATGCTGGCTCCGCAGGTCGTTGTCAAACTTGAGAAAATGTGCAAAAACCAATTAACACTTCAAACTTTGAGCTTACAACACACGGCAAAACGTAAAGCGAGGTAATTGGACATGTATTGTCCTCACCAGTCAGGAAGAAAGAATAGGCAAACAGGTACAAGCTGTATGCTAGAAAAAAGGAGATCGGTATATAGGAAAATGGTAAGCGGTATAAAGGAAGATGAGTGACAACGAGGGGATGATCAGTCTGGATGGGTAAGTGACGCCAACATGTTCGCTAAACTTCCAGTGGGAATCGCAGTGTTGGGGAAAATGCAGGGGAGAACCTGTCTTAATTTATTGGCTGGTTTGGCCACTGTAAACACAGTAGCAATCTGTGCATAAAATCATATTACATGAATTTACTCCTCTCCAGGCAGTTCGTATGCGCTAATGCTGCGCCTATGGAGGACGCCGGTTTGTAGATGATACAAATGACAAACCGATGTAATTGTCAGACCACTGCTTCACAGTCGCCCTGCCTGTAGATCGAGAATTAGAACTGTCGCGGAATAATTTCTCCATTAAAACTGGGGTCCTGTGCCATCTGTATCGCTCGCGGCTGCCGTAGATGTCACACAATCGGTGTGTCAGTTTATCCCTCTCCCCACACACAAAGTCAGTTGGACTGGTCACTTAGCACTGTGCATGTAAACTGGGTAAGTTGGGATTTTTGGGCGCGTCGGTGGGCAGATGTGTTTCCTGCGGGGGGTCTTCACACTACACCAGCCCAGTCTACCAGACAGTCAACTGGTAGATGGGAGAGAAAAGAGAGAGAAAGAGCGAGACCAACAATAGCAAAGCCATCTGATGAGCCGAAACTACCATGATGCGCTACCAATCATGAGTTCGACAGTTACTATCTCAGAGGACAACTCGTTTCTACTCAAGACTAAGCGTTAGATTCCAATGGCTCCTTCCTTATGTCAGTCTCACTCACGGGAGATCCGGCATTCCTTTCCCACCACAGCGTCGTACTTGAGGCTTGTGTGTTGCACGCGTAGACGGGCTGTTTAGAGGCGTCGGCCACTGCGCGTCCGAGACCATCTCCGTTCATTTGACCCTTGGCTTGTCAACGAAATATGGCGGGTGAGAGGGGTGCATCGCAAGTCAACCCCCCTGCGTCTGTCTCGTGAGGCAGGCGCGGAACTCCTTTTCCACAGCCTTCTTACATTGCACTGCTTGCGGCATTATATTTTCAGCCGGAGCACGGTCCCTTGTTACCATCTGGACGTACGTCTGCCTTGCCGAAGTCAGTCAGTTGGCTGCAGGTCAGCACGTCTGAGGTGGGGTAGATTTGTGCATTCAGAATGAAGATGAGTGTTCTTGAGCAGTTCAAATGATTTCATCTGATTTAACGGAGTTGGACGACACAGCTGTGACACTCGTCTATGTATCTTTTTAGTTACAGATACCTAAAATCCATCTTCTGATATGACTCACGTGCAATAACAATGACCTGTTACGCGTTGCGATAGCTATTAACCATACACCAGGATATATTTTTGTTACACAATACAATAGTAACCTTGAGTCTAAACGAATGCCTTTCTACACATCCAGACTGTCCGGAAGCCAAGTAAACGATGAAGCTTGGTAAGCGTTAATTTACCTTGATCTCGTTGAAAAATGGAAGCGTGCTGCGGGCTATAGGCTCTCTGAATGCCTAACGGCATCCTGGTCAGTGATTTAGTCAAGTCCGTGTCAATGGTTCAAACTTGAAAGACAGTGCTGTGCTCCCGACAAAACCCTCGCTTACAAAATGAATTTAGGCCAAAAATTTCTGTCCATGGTCCATCCCATCTGACCAATTCCAGGAGTCTGACAAATGGAAGTGGGGCTGAAAGATGATTGACAACCTACGGAAAAGAATGGCATTGTGGTGGTCACAAGTGAAAACGACCACCTTGTGCTCCGAGAAGTGGATGCAGCACCGGCGACTTTCGAAGCATCCGTTGCACTCACAACTCCCTCACTTATCTTTACCTTAGTGGTACGTCAATGTGGAGACGATGGGGGGGGGGGGTTGTTATCACCCGGCCTGGTACTTAAAAGCACGTTGGAGCGTATGCGTACACGACTCTTGTCCCCAATACTAACGCGGCAGAGAAGGAGAACGCGACCGGCCACGAAAATGTGTATTAGGAAACTGCAAGTCAAAATTAACAGGAAATAACGCATATTTATAACGCCCTACTGTTGTTCGCCGCCATTCGGCCGAATGTCCTTCGGGAAGAACATTCCAGACGAGCTGGTCGATAATTCGAATACGCAGATCGATCAGGCCCGAGGGGAAAAGCCAATACAGAGGCGCCACTATTAAGATGACAGAGCTGTAGAGAAAACGCACCTGGCCTCCAGTGATTGGCTGACTCCTGTTTTGGGAGTGTAGACACTCGCAACACCTCCCCTCCATGTAGATCGGTACCGCTTTTGGCGTGGACTGACCTGCATGGGCCGTGTTGATCGGCGCACTCGGTCGGTCCGGCGTCTTAGTCGTGGTTTATTGTCTGGAGACGCGGGGGCATTGACTGGTGGTAGCTCGTGGGCACATAGGTTTATTGCCATATGGTGCATCCGGAATGGCACAGACGGGTAGGCGACATTTTTCGGAGGTTGCCGTTCCTCATAGTCTGCCGTTAAGAGGGTTCTAGTTGTTAAAATTGCGGACAGACTGAAATCAATCTGCTACATGCTGTTTTTCGTTGCATAGGCCTTCCCTTGATATTAACACAGTCACCCAAAACGTGGTTTCCATAAGAGCCGAATAGAAAAATAAATTTAGACGATAACTAGCTATGGTTAGGTACCGGAATATGCTTTTCTATTGGTCTAGCGATCAGCTAACCCTGAAAAACTGAACAGAATTCTAAAAAAAAGAGCTGCTTCCGATTGTCGGCAGAAACCACCATTGTACCTTTCTGCACACTAACTGTTATCATAGAGGCCCGTGCTCACAAAGTCATCATCATCATCATCATCATCATCATCATCATCATCATCATCATCATCATCATCATCATCATCATCATCATCATCATCATCATCATCATCATCATCATCATCATCATCATCATCATCATCATCATCATCATCATCATCATCATCATCGTCATCGTCATCGTCGTCGTCGTCGTCGTCATCATCATCATCATCACCAGCAGCGGCAGCAGCAGCAGTAACAGTATAAGGTACTGCCGCTATTTCTACTACTGCTACTTCCACTATTACTACTACTACTACTACTACTACTACTACTACTACTACTACTACTACTACTACTACTACTACTACTACTACTACTACTACTACTACCACTATAACTACTACTACTACTAGCGATAATGCTGTTACTACTACAACAACTTTTACCCATACTTCTATCACTAGTATTACAGGAAGAACACCATCATTACTACTACTACTACTACTACCACCGCCACCTGTATTTTGGTTGGCTCAGGTAATGAACTGCGCGTAAATTCGTTAAGTGGTCTTGCGCTGCTTCATCATCATCATCATCATCATCATCATCATCATCATCATCATCATCATCATCATCATCAGCAGCAGCAGCAGCAGCACCTTCTTGTTGACTTCTCTTAACATGCTGAAGCTTAAATTCGACCTAAAAATAGCACAGTAGCCATTCAGACTGTCAAACACTTTTTTGTTTCCGCCTGTTCTTTTTCAATGCCTGATAGTGTTACAAAGTATTAATCCACATGATAGATTCTGCCGTCATAGTCATAGTCTCATAACCGATATTCCTGAAGTTCACTTTCTTTTGAGGTACAATAGGTATGCTCAGGCGTCAGCGAACACCCTGCTTTGCAGTTTGGATTGCTTGATGTGGCCTGAAGGCGAGGTCATTAGGTCGCCGCTTGGTTAGGCGTTCTTGTAAAAACTCTGCTAGTCGGAAAACACACCCATGTTGCCACCGTGGTTGCCATAGCCAAAGGAATTTGGCAGGACACAGAACCAAACAGTACCCAAACAACCCGCACCCTTGCCTATGTGCCAAATGAGATTTGCATGTCGCGCGCACCCACTGTTGGCAAGAAATGCTTGACTGCTTTACCGCAATCGACACTGACCGAGAATTTTATAGGGCCACATTTTGCGGATGAAGATTATAGAGAATTCATTCTTGACAAGAACGACAGAGTGGATGCGGGTGTTATAGTTAAAATGGAAAGGAACATACCTCTCGTAAAATGCTTATTTTTTTATTGAGTTTAGACTTTCGTCGCTCTACGATTACTACTACTACTACTACTACTACTACTACTACTACTACTACTACTACTACTACTACTACTATTGGGACTACTACTACTACTACTACTACTACTACTACCGTTGCCGCTGATACTGTTGACTTTACGAATACTGCTGTGATAACTAGTACTACTGCTACTACTATTACTCATAACACTGTTACTACGACTGTTACTGCTGTAACTATAAACACTACCGCCACCACTGCTAATTCTACTGTTGCCAACACCACCACTACTAGTGCCACTACTACTATGACCGCAAATATTGTTCCAGCGATCGTGTCTCCTTCTTCACGACTGCCACTATTTCTACTACTAGTCATTATTTCTACTGCTATCACTACTACTACTACTACTACTACTACTACTACTACTACTACTACTATGACTGCGACTACTTATGCCACTACAACAACAACAACTACTACTACTACTACTTCTGCTACAACCATTAGTAACATCACTTATGCTACCTCTGCCTTTTTTTACTGTCATTACTACTGATCATGCTGCTAGAACTATTATTATCATTACTATCCCTACTACCACCACCACCACTACTAATGCTGCCAGCACAACTATTGCGAACGCTATTACGGTTGCTACTGCTACTCTCACTACCGCCATCACTATTACTTTACTACCGCAAATACCACTACTACTGCCGTGGCTGCCACTACTCTACTACCACTACTACTACGTCTACTAGCGATAATGTTGTTACTGCTCTAACGACTTTTACTAATACTACTACCACTATTATTACAGGAAGAACACCATCATTACTACCACTGCTACTACTACTAATACCACCGCCACCTGTATTTTGGCTGACTCAGGTAATGAACTGCGCGTAAATTCGCTAAGCGGCCTTGCGCTGCTTTAATCTCTTTCCCTCCTCTCACACCCTTTAGTAGCCTGGGACAGAAAAAACGATCAGTATTTTTTTTAACTCAAAGGAAGAAATCGGCCAAATATTTTTCCACGAATCCTTGTAAACAATACAACAGATCAGAGCACATTTTATAGTGATAACGTATTAGAGCAGGGTGGCTTTTATCAATCAAGTCCGTAATTATTGGAATTCTTCGGCATTTTCAGCCTCCTTAAGAGTGTTGCAACTTCCAAATGACGTAATATTACTCATAATAATTATTCTACTTTTTTATGACGAAGGTCTTTCGTTAATAATAGACGGTTTTGGTTCGCAAACCTTTGTCGGTTTTTGATCGATCAATGATTTTTCGTCAGTTTAGTTATACGCCGTGATTTATGCCATCAACCTTAAGTTTGGCGAGAGTTTAGCGATCTAGTTTTGGAAATCTGCATAACAAACGGTGTGCCGGTCCGAAGGAACATTATATATACATATATAAGCTAATCTAGCAGTCCTTATCACTAGACCAATTTACACAAGAGTTTGCATAATGTTTAGGAGTAAATTAATAATGCCTCCAATTCGCAAATTTTATATCATAAAATCGAAGAAAAATACTATTTTGTTTTTTACATATAGTCCTTTTTTCCCATTTATAGCTTGCAGTTTTCGTTCTTTCTTTGGATACTTACCTTATGCCAAGTGCATTTAAACGTCCTGACGTAGCCACCAAGGTCTTTAACAAACGTCCTCGGGTAGAACATGCAACGCTTATTTTGCCTTTCAATTCAAGTAGAAGGTTCGCAGTTATGACTATCTGTACAGTTAACCCTCGGTAACCAGCTCGCAGAGACAGGCAAAAAGAAAGTGCGTATTTACACAAATCACTTTATATATATACTTAAAATTGGTGCGAATTCATGTCAGGGGATTAGCAGTGTGTACAGTTCCTCTCTGACACCTTCCAAAGGAAGAAGGATGAACGCAAGCATTTTGTAGAATTTCCCGTCGACGTCAATCAGCGCCGGTAGTTTGTTCATTGAGGTCATAAAATGTGAGAGAGCGTCTTCTATACAGATGATGATTAAAATCATTATGCAACACCCTTAATGAGGACCGCTCCTTCCTCCTGATGAGGTGGACTGCCGATGAATCCTTCTCATATCCTCACGAAACTGCGATCCTCCTGTTCTTCTGCCCGTAAAGTTCGCCGATTGGAGGGCGTCGGCGAATACTCTTGGAAATCGGACGTTTCACCAAAAGCAGGGGAACGGTCAGCGGCCTCTTTACCTTCACGCCTCCATGTGAAACGTTCTCCTTCCTCAAAGTCGCCATCATCTGCTGCTTCCTCGACCTCATTGAAGGTCCTGTGGGCAGTTTGACCGCGAGGTTGAGCTTTAAGGGGCTGTGAGCGGGGCAAACGGAGGCCCCCGGTGGTCGGTGGCTTTCTGTTGGCTCGTCTGCTGTTTGGGCTCGAAATTGGCAGTGAGATCGGGGGCGTTTGATAGGCAGGCCTTGAAACAGAGTTTCCTCGGCTATCTCCTCCTCCCCCTCCTCGCCTGTCCGCCTCCTCATCACTCTGTCTTTCCTCTTCACTTCCCAGCGACTGCCAGGTCATAGCCAGGGATGACGTCTTCTCTCGATCTCTCCTGGCATTGAGAGGCGTTTTCGGCAGTTGCACTCTCTTGAGGGAACTACGCAGGGTCTCCGTGGCGGAGGGCGTCTCGGTGTTCGTGCCCACGGAGGTGTACTGGCCAACCTCGTCTCGAATACTGTTCAGGCAAGAACAGGAGGAGCAGTGCCGATTGCGGCCAGTGCTGAGGGGCACCTCGTAGTCACGTGATCGGTATCGGTCACGAACTTCGGGCACCCGATGTACATTCATTAAACTGGAGGTCTTCGGCAGAGGCTGACGATCTCGTGGAAGATTCCAGTCTCGCACAGATGAGGTCTCGAAGTAGTCCATACTCGGACGGTTATACTGGCAGTGTCGTGGGTTAGACAGGCTTCTGTACGCCTCCTCGTCCGCAGTGAAACGGCTGTGTTGATGCCGAGGTTCGAACACTGGTCTTGATTGCGTGCTGGCATTCTGGTTGACTAGCTTTGGTCTCCCATCTGGAATGCCCGGCTGGTCGAACATTAGATGCTGATCTCCGTTTGCAAAATTCCAGCCCTAAAAGCAAAAGTTGTTGGTTTGAAACGAGGAATTTTTACCAGGAAAAACGCAGCTACTCTCAGAGCTTTGTCCTCAAGAGTCAGATATCAGTAGCCAAGTTGTAAAGTTTTCCAAGGAAACCATCGTTGATGCGACGTGCCGAATGCCCATGGATGGGAAGCGCGCGCGTCACATTAATTGTATTTTATGTGCTTGTGTGTTTTTTTATTTTGGAACTTGGCAATGGAGTGGGTGAAACACGAGTTTATATCTCCGGTGGTTTCGCTCCCTTTTGTCTCCTCATCAGAATGGCCTCTAACACTGGGTGAGTAAACCAAAGTACTATCGCGCACACCTGTGGCACCTCGAATTGTAGCCAGTTAGGAATCTCTGAATCCAAGTTAATACGACTTTACTGTCGCTCCATAAGTACTATCGACGCTGTTGCTCGAGAGGTTATACATAGAGGCTTTACAATTAGTACTCCTTCGCAAATTTAAAAGAATTGGGTATTTATAAAAATAATTTAAAGTGCTCCATTCGTTCAAACAAATTGCGTTTTTGGGGTCTTGATAAACACCGTTGATCTCATCGAATATTCTTCGGGGACTGCATTTTGTGAAATCGAAACGCGGGGTAATTAGGAATTCGACTACTGAATATTTTCAAGGAATCAACTCGAATGACGCTGATTTAAAGTTTAAGGTGCTTTGCAGATCGACCTCGGGCATATGAGTCCGTTGTTCCTATCGCGCCCAAGGTAACAGACAGGCTGTATATAAGACCGTAGAACGTACATATGTAGTCCTGGGTCATATTAATTTCAGAGCCTTACAGTGATGGGAGGGCGACTGTGCTTAAAGAAACCAGTAGACTACAACTGGTCGAAGCATACAGTGCATGTGGTTGGACTCGGGGATAAATGATCTCCCGTACTACGGGTGGCTTTGCGCTACATTCCAGGAATGCTTATTCCTGTGTTCTAACTTTATCCCCGATCCCAATCCTAACAGTTGCCCTCGTAACCCCACTGCAAGTATTTCTCAAAAATGATCGCCCGTCTATAATGCCAAACTAGGGTCATTTCACAATCATATAACAAATAATATTTTAGCAAGATGCGGGTCAACTCGCCATCCTCGCTTCATAGGTATTCACGACTCAGGAAGCCCAGCAATCCGACTACTCAAAGCAGAAAACGAGACTTCGATAAGAATGGTTTGGCGTCATAGGGGACGCTGACCCCATCTTTCCATCAGAGTCGTCCGTAGCGACATAAGCCAACAGGACTTCGATTGATAAAGGTGGAAAAAGCTACTTTTGTGTAAGGCAAAGACTCTTCCTGTAGAAAATATTCAGCGCATCGCCTGCGTAGTTTTATGTTCTATATGTCGCCACTATTTTACATTGTTTTGAAACATGCTGACTGCAAATTTATCTGGTCGACTATGTCGTTTCTCCACAGTATGTAGTGACAAGAAATAGGCTCAATTTTATCGATCTACTGACACTAACAAGTTCCATCTGTTTAGTCAGAAGATCCGCGAGTGGTAATCAAAAACGTGAATCCAACTCCAGTCGACCCTTGCTTGCTCGAAAAGTACACCTAAGTCGCTAAACATTGATGTAGCGGCTGACCTGGTTCAAAATTATTCCGGAAATGGAAAACTTTTTCAAAACCTAGATGTACCCTTTCTTCGTGTGTAAATATGAAGTCGGCGTGATATGCTATCAAATGAGTAAATGAAAGCGTATTTTGTGCATGTTTTCCATCAAATATATTTGAATTTTCAGCACCATCTAGATTCGATGTAAAAAACCACACTTCCTAATTCAGGAAGTCACAAAAAACGGCATTAGAAAGCAAAAATCATGGTCAGTCTCAAATATCATAGGATTATGCCCCACGATAGTCATTATTACAACCCCACGTAAGTAATACTTTCCAATCGAAAACGCATTTCAAAATTTTGGCTAACATTTCATGAGATCGGTCGCTCACTGCATTTCAAGGTAGGAGAAAAGCATGTCCCCAAAACAAAAAAGTTATTAGCATTTCGCAAAATCCTGCGTCAGTGGACTTTTAAGGCAGTATGCCAGTCTAGGCAGCTCTTAACCAGCTCGCCAGGAAACGTTTTAAATCAGTCTGCCAAAGAACCTCAACGCTCTTTGACAATTGATTTAGACTCGATCAGAGGCGTGTCGCTCTAGCCAACCAGAAATCGCTTTCAAGGTCACAGGAGATCAGATGCTACTTCCCATCAGGACTGCTTTATGATATTTTTACAGTTTACTCACTTGACAATGCTCCGCGCCTCTCTTGAAGGGTGAATAGGTCGGTTTGGGACCGGAGGATGATCGTGAGTCGGAATCAAGTCCACTGTCACGATTGGAATTACTGGACGTCGAGGAGGGCAGGACGGGATAGTCTGGCGAGGGAATGTCCGCGTCGAAGGCCCTCCGCGACGGCGGCAGTGGCTGGCGAGCTGAAAAGTTGGTGGGGACGGGCTCTGTGGGCAGGTTGAAATCAGAGAGGTTGGTCAGCCTCGGTCGCTGGAGGGTTGAGGCGCTCCGGGCTGACATCCCATCGTACTCCACGTAGCAGTTCGACTGATAGGAGACTGGATAGGAGGCAAGAGAGGGGATCGCCGTGCCCGCCGGAGGCATTCTACCCGAGAGGACTGGCGTTGCCGGCGAGGATCTGACCTGTGGACCGCAGTAGTCCAGGGAGCCAGAATAGCTGGGAAGTCGTGGTCGTGGCACAAACTGTTGACTGGCACTGCTTCCGTCTGGGAGGCGGTTGTCTCGAAACAGCACATTCCTACGGCCCACCGACTCCGAGACCGATTGTTGCGCCTGTATGGTCGACTTAAACAAACTGGGTCCGGGCGGGGGCAGGCTAAAACAACTGTCAGTGTCGGATTTTCGCGACTTCAGCTTCTTCAAAACCTTGGATCCTGGCCACGGCATGATGTGGAGTTTTTTCTGTCTCTGAGGTCACAAGTTTCTGCGGGCAAATGGAAAGACTGATGGCACCCTAGCGTGCACTGGGTACTTATGTGAGTCTGCCGAATGGCTGTGTCTGAGTGCCTGTTAGCAGCCTGTAGAACCGGTGCACATCAGCCAATCAGAAGTTGACAGCTGCCTACTCACGCGGTGATTGGCGCAGCTGCGGTGTTGACAGGTGCTAGTTACTTGCAGTCCAAAGACAAAAATAGATCAGAAATTAGATGAGAGCGCGTATACCAGAGATGTATCTATATGATCTTCTTAGTTCTCGTCTGATTGCTTTCATGTTTCTAAAAGATCTGATTTCACGTCTGATTTCAGCAAAACCGGCGCGTTTCACCGAAATGAGCCAAACAGAAATGAGCTAAAGGAAAGCGCAAACTACGGAATGAGGCTTAGAAGCCAAAAGAAAAAAACTGAGACTCAACAGGACTAATATGACCTACAAACCGATCGATGAACAACCCTTCCAGGATATCTGTTCGTACCGATTACAACCGAGAGGGAAACGGACTGTGGCCCGATGGCGGAGCATTCGACGTAAAAGCACTTAATGGCCAAGGAATGAGGGCGCGGATCACAGGTTGTCCAGGTCTGACTGAAGACGGCTAATCAGCCCGAAACAGCACACCGAGCTTCAGCATTATCTGGCTGCCTGCGAGCGTTCTACGTTGGGATCAAAGGCACAATGGGACTACTTCGTCTCATAACCCGATTGATGAGCAAATCTCTTCAGCCTTTCATGGAGAGGCAGTGTCTCTGAAGCGAAGTAAAGAACCCAGTTTTGATATCCTCAGTCAAGAGTCACACAGCGTCCTTTGTGGAACCTCATTCTGTGTGCAATAGTCCAAATGACCTTTAGAATGGGCTGACATTTTCGGGTTTCTGCAAATGTTAGAACCGAAAAAGCCACTGGCACAATTAGGGTTAATAATAGGTGCATAAGAGGCCAGATAAGAGTCGTGTTTCGACGCTGCGTTTCCTTGCGGCCTACGTAAGAACGACTACGTAGGTACGTATCTCGCGATGCAGCCAAATAAACCGCAAAGTCACCTACTAGAATAGGGAGACAATTCCTCTTTTCCGCTCGCTGCACTCAGACAACTCCTGGTTCCACCTATCCCGTATCAGTTGTGACCTGGAGGAATATTTTCCGAAGGAAACTGAGTGGTCGGCACAAGTATGTATTCCGATCGTATTTGACTTCGTGGGAACTGTCTCGCGAAACATTTGACCACTTCAAGGTGGGGGTACACAAGCGCTCTCTCACTCGCCCTCAGTTAACTTATTGAATAATTTTTCTCCGAAACCTGACGTTTGTAAGCAACGATAAGGCATTGGAGGGCGATGGGAAAATAGCAACGGAGTCTCTTGTTTCTATGGGAGACAACCCAAGCGAGCCATCAACTTCTCTCAGCCATTCCGCGTGTTCAACAGGACCCTCAGTTGGAAGTGAGGAAACAAGCTCATGGCAAGATGGAAAGGGTAAGCGCCACAACGGGAGTATAGAACCCCAGACGACTCCGGTGGATCTTCTGAGACCTTCAGCTGACAAGGCCACCGGAAACAGAAAAAATGAACCCCTTGATCGTCAGCACTGCGTAGTCGTCCAGGGTCTATCGGAGTCGGATGCTTCTACCCCGAAGGAGAGGATCTCCGCTGACCTTAATATGCTTCAACACCTACTGAACGAAATGCTTACTTAAAATGAAAAGATAACCATTCGCGCAGCCTTCAGGATCGGAAAGAAGGAGAGCGAACAATCAGAAACTGTGCGGCCACGACCTCTGAAAATTGTTTTGAACAGTAAAGAGGAAGCTAGCTTACTTCTGTCCAGGAAAAGCAGCCTCCGAAACTCGCACAAGGAAGTTTTTTTTCAGCCGGACTATTCTCCAGCGGAACGTCTGAAACGCCGCGAATTGGTAACGGAGTTGAAGAGGAGACTTGCAGCGGGAGAGAGCAACTTGGCCATTTTCAGGGGACGAGTAATACAGAGGAACGCGATGTTGTTTTGGAACCAGCCAGTCATCATGATGGCGGCAGCAACATAATATTGGCAAACCCGAGACAAACCGAACGAAGCACTGTCGAATGTTGCAAACTAAAATTCTTTTACACCAATGCTCAGAGTCTGTTTTCCAAGCTTGACGAACTGAGAATACAGGTAGACGATACTCTTCCCGATGTTATAGCAATAACAGAAACGTGGCTGTCAGAGGACGTTGGCAATTGCGAGGTAGCATTAACAGGATACCATTTGTTTAGGAGAGACAGGAGAGGCCGCCGGGGTGGAGGAGTTGCCATGTATGTCAAGAGCAACTTAGCAGTGTGTGAGAGGACCGACAAGATTTCTAACGACACAGAGGCAATTTGGCTGACTATAAAGGCGCGGGGATCTCAGTCCCTCGAAGTCTTAACTGTCTACCGGCCCCCGCAGACGGATCCCGACCCAGATACTTGTCTACTGAAAAGCATAAAAGAGATCGCCAGCCGAACAGACGTTGTTATCATGGGGGATTTTAATGCACCATACACTCAATGGAGCGATATGCATGCGAAATGCTCGATGAATACCTTCGATTACCATCTACTAAAGACAACTCTTGAAGCTCTACTCACGCAACATGTCCTGTTTCCAACTAGAGCTCGTGGAGGGCAACAGGCCAGTTGTCTGGACCTCGTTTATACCAAAGATCCTGACAGTATAGACGAGGTGTACTACCTACCCCCGCTCGGTCGAAGTGATCATGCAGTGCTTTTATGCGAGTACTTGCTGTATTCTGAACCGTGTACAAAAGACAATACGAGGCCAAATATATGGAAAGGGGACTTTCGCCAAATGAGAGCTGAGGCATCACAAATAGACTGGGATGTTCTCTTCTCCGGAAACGTTAACGAGGACTGGAATTCATTCAAGGATCGTTTACTGCATCTAATGAAGAACCACTGTCCCTTATCAAAGCCTAGGACATCCAACCGCCCTCAGTGGCTTACACGAGAACTCAAAAGGGAGATCAACAAGAAAGGTAGATTATGGAAAAAATTTCGCGAGAACAACAATACTGCAGCGTTTACAGAATACAAAATTCAAAGAAATAAGGTGAAAAGCCTGATTTTCAGGAGGAGACGGGATTTTGAGAGTAATTTGCTCCACCGAGCCGTTAAAAATCCGAAATTGCTCTACAGCTATTTGCGGAAAAGCACACGTAACAGGAATCCCATTCCTGTTATGAGGGGTGATGACGGCTTGGAGATATCGGACAGTACAAATAAGGCTGAGCACTTTTCTCAATTTTTCCGATCCGTTTTCACCAGAGAAGCGGACTTTACCCCATCTAACTCTGAGAACATGAGAGATCCCACTATCAAAAATATTGTGTTTCGAGAAGAAGCGATTTTGGAAGAACTGAAAAGCTTGAAGGAATGTAAATCTCCCGGTCCGGACGAGATTCCAGCAAAGCTGCTCTTTGAGCTTGCCCAACAGCTGGCCAAGCCACTATCCTTTCTGTGCCAAAAATCGTTTGATGCTGGAATTCTTCCCACAGATTGGAAGACGGCCCACATTACACCCCTTTACAAAAGCGGTAGTCGTGCTCAGGCGACAAACTACAGACCCGTCAGTCTGACATCAATCTGCTGCAAAGTGATGGAGAAAACAATCAAAAAGGAGTTGATGGCTTACTTGGAAACCCACAACCTCTTGTCCAATACACAATATGGTTTCCGTAGGGGAAGATCATGTGTTACGAACTTGCTATACACATTGCAAAGTTGGGCACGAGCACTGGACGCAAAACACACCGTGCATGTTGCCTATATTGATTTTGGGAAGGCGTTTGACAGTGTTCCGCACCAGCGTCTCCTACACAAGTTGAGAATTATGGGCATCGGTGGCAAACTTCTCAAATGGATCAAAAATTTCCTTGTCGGCCGCTACCAAATTGTCTGCGTAGAACAACAGCAATCAAGGTGCACATTCATAGAGAGTGGGGTCCCACAAGGCTCGGTGCTCGGACCAACTCTCTTTCTCTTGTTCATCAATGATTGCGTAGATGGGTTGGACTGTGATTGTGCCATGTTTGCGGATGACATAAAAATCTGGAAAGTTATCCAGAATGCTGCCGATGAAACCAACTTCCAAGAAAATCTTTGTCGGTTGGACGAGTGGTCCCGCAGATGGCTCTTGTCCTTCAATTTGAACAAATGCACCATTCTGCGCCTCGGAAATCAGACCCCTAGTACGCGGCAATACCATCTGAACGGAATGCCCCTACGAGAAGCAGAAACTCAGAAAGATCTCGGAGTTTGGGTTGCAGACAGCCTAAAGCCTTCTACACAATGCTGTAAGGCGGCCAAGGCCGCAACTTCAATGATATATTCCATCAAGCGGGCATTCGTATTTTTCGATGAAGACTGCTTCACCAAAGTCTTCGGCACGTTTATAAGGCCCGATCTCGAATATGCAATTCAGGCCTGGAGACCATGGACGCACCAGGATTACGATCTGCTCGAAAGGGTGCAGAGGCGAGCCACAAAATTAGTAAGAGGTCAAAGTGCACTGCCATATGAGATCCGCTTAACTAACCTTAATCTCTATCCTCTGAGTTATAGGCAGTTGCGCGGAGACATGATACAAACTTTCCGTATCGTGCGCGGCTTCGATTGTGCCCTTCGGTGCGATGACTTTTTCCAACTCGCCACCACAACTCACCTCCGGGGACATCCCTTCAAGCTACGTGTGCCACAGGGTAGACTGAATGTGAGAAAATATTTCTTCTCCAACCGTGTCGTGGAACCGTGGAATAACCTGCCCGCGACGGTTGTTATGTCTCAATCTGTGGAGACATTTAAATGTCGCCTTGACAGATATATGCTGCAGCAACAAGCGGACTATGTGACTTTTTAGCCATGTGACTAGTGACATATGTGAATCAATGTATGCATTCATTTAATGCTGTAAT